AGTTCGTAATATTCAGCAGACATTGACCAGAGTGCTTTTTAATTCCCTTACGAATCAGTGGACCAAGGTTTTGCAACAGTGGGGCATCTTTCCCGACCATTTACTGTACTTAACAATGCCGTGTAACCATTAACAATAATGGTGAAGGACATACATGTGTTTTAAAATAATCTTTAAATGGCATTTAGTAACTGGATAGAGTAACAACAAAACAAATGTTTATGGTAAACGGCTACACTTGTGTATTTAAGGCGACGTTTCGAGGAATATTCTCTTAGCTTGATAAAGTTTAGTAACTGGATAGAGTAACAACAAAACAAATGTTTATGGTAAACGGCTACACTTGTGTATTTAAGGCGACGTTTCGAGGAATATTCTCTTAGCTTGATAACGTTGAGAGAATAAGTATGTGTTTTGTTGCTAAGTGTCTTAAAATGTAAAGAAAATCTCCACATGTACAGCGCCATTAATTGGCCTATATCCTACTTGTTACGGATTAAATGACCATCGATCAACTGATCCGTTAATGTGATCCTTATTACGCTCGTGTGATCGCCTCAAAAACAAATGTAATGGTTAGCAAACTGTCGATTCATCGACCGACAAACAAGAGTGCTTCTTTTCAGATCTTCAAACGAAATTATCAAACCCTCTCGCCGACCGAGCGAAATCCTGTATTTTCAAATGTCCCGACCTTAGATAATGCGGTACTTGATTCCAATAATCTGTATAGTTAACTTTTGAGTCATGAATAAGCCTGCAGCAAGTTTTTCTAGCAAATGGTACTTGAAACTTGTCGATTGGGTTTTGAAGATCTTGCTCTCCGTGTATATTAGAGAGCGTGTGATCTATGTCTTGCTTATTTCTCAGTAATTTATCAGAAACTGCCTTGTTTTAACTCCTTCAACAGGTGATAATGTTGGGGTATCTATGTTTAAGTTCGTATTTTTAGTATGTTCGACTTAACCTGTTACGTCTCTTCTCCATAATATTTAGAATTGATCAAACCCCAACAACTGTAGCAAACGATCCCACCGCCCCATTCTTACCAATAAATCTAGGAGAGCTACGACCCAAGTTTTTAGAAAATCCTATGGTTCCTTCAGGGGGATGGGCTCAACGCCCGCTTCCACCGAGTGTGATATTGCAGATAACAGACCAAATCCATTAGCTGCAGGCCATGGTTCTCGTCCTGCATATCTGGCTTCTGATTTTGCCTTTCCTCTTTGAAAAATGAAGTGAAATACATGTACATTGGATTTGTCAAGGAATCAAAAGCTCTGTAGGTTACAAACACAAGGAGTACAATCAATATGGATATGACTCCAATATCAACAGTCGCCTGAAACATAAAATACAATAATCACAAATAGTTTTGACACAGTACCCAACTGTTCTGCCCGGCAATATAGGGCTTGAACTTTTAAATCACCCAACTTGGTACACTATTACATGCAGTAGGGTACCTTATCATCTCCCGGGTATCCCCCCAACCGCTACAAAATCAAATTATTGAAATGCTCTGTGTGTGTTTATGTGTGTGTGTCTCTTAAGTCCCCCCACCCCCATTCTCTCTCTTTACCCCTCACCTCACACCTCACATACATCAAAGCTATCTGAAATCATTTTCGTAGTACCGAGTTAGCTAGGATTATAATCCGATTATCTACCAGTCACCCAGTTATCGTCTACTTGCATAACTAATCTACATTATAACTAGGTCTATTAACGGTGTTTTTTGGTGACTGACAATGGACTGAATAGTGTGAATATACTGAGTCATGACCCCCTAGCTAGATTCCAGTAACTTGTGGGACATTTGTTATGGCATACCTTGTAGATATCCCAACACAATGATATGGCTCAGGTGTCATAAAAAAAAAACGTTATAGAAATTCGTTGTTCGTACCTGTAGTTCGAAGTGAAAGACCATAAACCTTCTACAGTCATGTTTTATATAACTTAAAAGTGTTCATTTCGTTTGATTTTCAGTTCGCTTTGATCTCTAACTTACAAACATAAGGACTTTGTACATTGAGTTTTTCTTTTAAGAATTATGGGTCCAAAATTGTGTAGTTTAATTTGTATCACATACGGTTGTTAATTGTAAGCAGTTGCTAAATAAATTATATATTTTCACTGGCTTGAAACGAAATGAACTGGGTTTTAATGTCCTACTGTTTCTGCCCCGACTGGGTTAATGAAGACGGACATACTCCATGCAGTGTGCTATGAGGGGAATTTTGAACCTAGACGCGCCACGACCTTAGGCTAGGCGACGCTCGCGGAGTTCCGCCGAAGACTTGATTGCTGAGCATTCAGTCCTCTGTCTAATGGCGAAAAGGGTCACGTGAGGTCCAGACTTTCGAATCACTGACATTAGTAGGTATAGTGAACATTCGGGTTATCGGCAGTTGGTGGAAGATAAATTCCCCTGCAATTGGCACCCTATACTGGACTAGCCTCTCAATCACCAATATGTTCTTCTGAGTTCTGGTGAGTTTCTCCAGGAATCATTGTTCAGCGGAAGTTCAGCCCCACGACCGAAAGAGGACAGACTCCAATATATCCCCCAAAATGAGATTCTTCATGACTTGAGGACATCGAGTGAGAATGTAATAATTAAATGGAGATGTAACGTCCTACCTTTCTGCACCAACCGGGCTAATGAGGACGGGGGAATAGTATGCTTGATAATAAAACATGTTTATGGCATATAATGTTGTTGTCTAGTCTTCATATGGTATCCTAACAACAACGGTAGCTCCTGCGAAATACAAGTCCAGCCATGGTCCAACCGAGCTATGTGTAGTGGTGATATGCGTCGTAAATCAAATGAAGTGGGATTTAACGACCTACTGTTCTTCGCCGACGGTGTGCTATGAAGACGGGAAACAGACATTCAATGTCATCTCTCATAGTCAACAATTCTGCACACCGAGAACTATCTACCTTGAGAATAGGTCTCTGCCCTGAAGGCCATCATGTCTAAAAATTAATATACTATTTTGTAATGCGGTTCTTCCCCGTTTCACATCTGTCATGCAAGCAAAGATTAAATAAACCTTTTTCTGTTTCATAAATACATCTCAAAATTAAAAAAAGTAGGCAGGGTGGTTTCGGTTAAAATCGTCGATTTAGGAATTAAAATGTCGGTTAACTAGCTTAGTGCCTGTTCTCAAGCGGAGCTAGTTGTAGACAGACAGCGTAAGTTTAGTATCATAGCTAACAGACAGTTGCAGTATGTTCTTATTAGAAACGAATAATCTTCCTAATCTCAGTCAATAGACCCAAAGTATTGCATTTAAGTTTTGAATATGATGTGTACGTATCTTATAACATAATAATATCTATATCATGTCGGTCACATATTCCAATACTTTGGGCGCTCTTGACAAACAAAGTAGGCCTAGGACTTTAAACTCAACTTCATTTCTTTGCTTGTCGGTTCTTGTCCGTGATTGATACAGTAGGATTGAAAACGAAACGGTAAAATATAAAGGACTTCGATTCGATATTCGATACGTAGCTACAAAACTATGCAGAGGTGCAGAGGTGCAGAGGATTCAGTTTAATCCCCTCAACCGTTTTAGATACTATGATACGATACTAGTTGGGTAAATATACACGTATGTCATCTGTTGACTTAGTCAATTTCATAAATTACATATCGATTACTTTAAATCCTTTGTGTTGACCTTTAATTGAACTTTAACAAATAATTCTGCGACTTCAAATGTAGATAACACGACAATAAATTGGCTATTTTTTGCAAACTCGCAAAAAGAAATGAAATGGAGTTTAACGTTCTAGTGTTCTGCATGCACCGACTGGGCTAATGAAGACGGGAATACGCCATACAGCGTGCTACGAGGGCAATTTGGTACAAAGGCTTTCTCTTATATCGAATTCTTTTAAGTGTACACGGGGCCTCGAATTTTCGTCCCATCCGAACGACTATACTTTATCCCTTGCCAGTCCCCCGCCCGGCACCACTAACAAGGGAGAACCACGCCGGAAATTCCCGATGAACTTTCTAGGGGAACATACGGAGCGAACACGAGACCTCCAGGTTAGCGAACCAACATCTTACTCACTGAGCCATCTTGCAAAAACATAAAAACGATATTAATCGGGGGGTTATATTGCGATGTTACTGGTTCGATCCCGATGCGCATGTCCAACCTTGTGGGGTTTCTCGTGATCCTCCGGTGTCCTCCCACTGCCACAGACCCCTCGTTGAAATATAATTGAACCATATGTTAGTCCCGAAATGACCTAGTTTGTGTCTAGTGAATGTTAAACCTCATATCTCTTCCTTGTTAATATTCTCTGCAGTCAGTGGTGTACGTTATTATCAATAAATAATACAAGACGATAGCTGCACAAAACATGTACAGTCAAAAAAAAACAACCCCAAACATTACTAATATACAATAACATAATATATTGTGCTGGCCACTCGGAGCACCTCGAGGGATTCCGTGATTCCCTTCGAACATAGGGTGTCACGGGGCATCAACCCACCAACAATATGGCGGGATAACGTAATCGCTATTTGGAACAATCGCGTAATAGTAAAAACGGACTGGTCATACTGGCTGTGGGGCCATGTCCGTTGGCTGAGACCACCAGATAAGAAAAATAATCCGCTGGAATGGATACAGAAACTGCAGACAAACTGTTAATGGTAATGGATAATAAAGGGTCGATCGACCTACGCTTGTAGCCTAGGTGAAGAATGTCCGGAACGATATTTATGAATGAATGAAATGGGTGTTTAACGTCCCAATGAAGACGGGTATACGCCAAACAGTGTGCTATTGGTGGGGGGGGGGGGCAATTGAATTCCAGCTGCCAGGGGTTCTACTTTAAGGGACGACCTGTCTTTTTTTTTGTCCGATTCACAAGGTCGTTGTTAAGATCCAGACTAACACTGTGTAATACTAATGTTATATATGGGATTTTAATGGAATTAATGTTTTTTTTGTATTTTTCAGGAAGGTTTTATATATAAATCTATACAGTATCTACTGACTAAAGAAAGTTTAAATGAATTTAGGTAATCCATCGTTTTCTTTAATTTAATTGAAATATATTTTCGGAAAGAATCATTAATATACATGTAGATGAAATAGATGTCCAATTTTGTAAACTCTGTTTGAGCGACCACATACAGATTTGGAGTCATTTATTTTGATCTAATCTATCCCGAGTCGTTGTTAAATCCAGTGATTTTTCTCTTTACTCAATTGATGTTTATATTGTTTCAAGGGCATTTAGTAATTGAACTGTAAAACAAAAGTCAATTCTATAGAATTACAATTACTGCTTATTACTGAGTGACGTTTCAACTAGGTCTCTCTAGTCATTATCAAGTAATGATGAAATATAACGAGGCACTATATACATGTAAAAAAAACAATACTTGATTAATACTGAACAACCAGAGAAAGTCCCCTGAGTAGAAAATTTAAATGTAAATCGCAGAATTATCTTCTCTTCTTGACCAAATATGTTCGTAAACGAAATCAGCCATTCATCACCGCAGCTTGTGGAAGCCTGCTGGTGGAAACCATGGAGGGGTATTTAATTCTGATGAAAATCTCATGTAATGTAAGTTTTATTTATATGTTTTCTTAACTCCGATGGAACAATAAAAATGAAACAAAATTCAACCAGCTTTATATTTTATTTTGCAGTCAACAACCAAGCTATCCTGCCGATAGATTTAACGTATCTTTTAGCGATTCTGGTTTACGTCATCGAACTTTAGAAGATGAAGAATTTACATCTCTTACTACTGCATGTGCCAACATATCAAGTAAGTGCACACTGAATTACTATCCATAATACCCAGTTGAGTGCCCACTGAAATACTATTTGTAATAATGGTTGCGTGCACACTGATTTACAACCCATAATACCCAGTTTAGTGCGCACTGAATTATAATCCATAATACCCAGTTGGGTGCACCTTTGAATTATAACCCATCTGTGTGTTTGAAGTATATGTTTGTGATATGCGCTTAGAAACACTTCACGTGTAATGAAGCGCTATATAAATCGAACAATAATAATAATAATAATAACACTGGTTTAGTGCACACTGAATTTCAACACATAATACCTGTTTGAGTGCACATTGAATTACAACCCATAATGCCAGGTGCACACTACATCACATGTGATAAGACAACCCATTATGCCCGTTGAGTGCACGTACACTACAAAAAAAACAACAGATGCCTGGTTGATTACACACGAAAAAAAGACAACCCATATTTCCCGGATGAGTGCACTTTGAATTACTCTCCATTATACCCGGTTGAGTGCACACTAAAAAAAAAACCCGACCCATAATACCCGGTTGAGTAAAATACTGTATATGATCTTCTATTATTACACGTAGCTAGAAAAACAAACTTTTGCCAACTACTCTATTTTGAAATACACTTTGAAATGGCACTAATCAACACTTTGAACTCCAAAGCATGTAAGGCAATGCATACTACAACATGTTCAACTTATTGACACAAAACCTGCATGTTCAACATGGGTGAGGCCTGAATAACAAACTATAATACATGGAAGTCTGCCATACCTTTTGATAAGTATGAAGGAGATAAATATTATGTTTAGACATCATGGATGTTTGGCTTTTACTAATTTACTTTCCATCGAATGTACGGAGACAAATAATTATTGAGAAGTATTTTTGACATTTGCAAAATGGGTAGGCTATGTGAATTAAATATGAAAATTATTGACTAGGTCTATCTATTCTTGTTATGTGTTGTAATCATAAACATTGTCTAGAATACTATATACTACATAATAAATAATAATGAAGTCTGTAAAACATGCATTATGTAAGAGGTATATCTGCCTATTACAGATCTTCTGCCTGGCTTTAAATGTTAAATAAGCTATTAAAGGGACATTATGGGAGATTAGATAATGAGTTGACAGTTCTCGCTATAAAAGTTAAAACACAGATAAGGTAAATCGAATATGCTGAATATTTCAGTCAAATTGCTTCACTCTGAACAAAGATATTGGCTTTTGAATTTAAGGCTAGCCTCGATCATCATTATTAAAGTCTGTATAATAAATAACAAAGTCTCAATCATCCTTCACAAAATGTATCCAATCCGCTAAATATCGCAGGATAGCGATGTCATCGAGAGTTGATTATGGTCTTGGCAAGTTTAATTAATGTCTAATTAATAATTTAGATAACCTTTCATGTCTAAAGAAAGATCTGCAATAGGCAGGTTTAGCTCTTGCATTTATGTATGTTCAGTATATTATTTTGCATTATCTTTTGTTTTTAAAACTATTTTAGCGAGAACTAAATCTTACATCTAAAAATGTCTGAGGGGCCAAAAATGGGTATAGAAAACTTCATTCATTATTGATAGGAAGCCACGGCGGCTCAGTGAGTAAGACGTTGGCTCGCTAATCTGAACATCCCATGTTTGATCCCTGCAATAACTGAGAAAGTTCATCAGGAATTTTTCGGTGTGGTTCCTCCTTGCCAGTGGGAAGGTACAATGTATAGTCGTTAGTATGGGACGAATAAACAGGGGTCCCTTGTACACATTGACGTGCACATAAAAGACCCCTTGACAGTTGGAATTTGATATAAGAGTAGGCTGATAGTTTCTCTGTCATGGCAAAATTTCTCTCTTAAATTAGCACACTGTATGGCATATGCCTGTCTTCATTAGCCCCGTCGGAACAGAACAGTAGGACGTTAATCCCCATTTCATTTCATTATTATTACAAAGGATATAATAGTACTTCTAGTCTTTTTTGCATTTTAAAAGGTTTTTAATTGAATTTTGAATAAGAATATGCAATCGTTACCAATGTTTACCTGCACTTAAAATACTAATGTAGACAGTCCATATGTTTTTCTATTCAAGTCGTTGAATAATATTATAATATTAAAGGAGATGCCCCATCAGTTTCGTTGTTCAACTTATTGAATAATATTAAAGGAAATGTTTCGATCTATATTAAGCTAAGAATTTTCCAGAGAAATAAAGAGAAATGGTTCAGTCTAGAAAAGTGTGTCTCCTCGTACAACATCCTAAATAACCATATGTAAATGTGGATTTTATCATTAGATACCACACCAAATACAAACAAAAATACTGCTTCGAAATAACTTGTAAAATACTGGTTATTATGAAGTCTTTGAGCAGTGCCAAGGAGCATGGTGTGGTCCAGGTCCCAGGGTCGCCCACATCAGGGGATCTGTTTTAATCAGATAAAGATTAAATATGCGACAACCCTTCTTGACCGCTCAGATGATTTAGCTGTCGTGGGCGTTTGTTTCATTGCCTGGCAACCTATCTTCTAATCATGTGCATGTTCAAATAGATTGAAATCTCAGCCATCCGATGGTCTAGCAAATTGATTTTAGGCTTGTCATGTGAATTAGTGATGTATATAACATTTGAAGCCAAAATAAAGACTGGCTGGCAACAGGCAGATTTAGCTTTCATATTTTTCATTATCTATTTAAAATGATAAAGACAGACTTTGATATCATTTCTTTGTTATTTTTTATATTATCTATAATTTTTGGGGAACAAAGATATCTGTTTTTGTTCCCACTTATCTTGTGCAGTTGTTATTTCCTTTCATATCCTGAATATCTTGAATATTGATAAAATCTTATGACAATTATATTAGGAAACAGGTTGTCTTTGTATGGTGTAAAGATATAACTTACTTGAAAATAGCTGTATAAAATAACAAGAAACACTTAAAATATCATAGTTGAATTTGTTTTTGAATTGCATAATTGTAGATAAATGAAATGGGATTTACTCTTTTACTTTTCAACACTATCTAGGCTAATAAAGAAATCCAGCCAATTTTGCCCAGATAGCAGCATTACTTAAACTACTGCCTGACTTAGTCACAGAACATTACTTAAACTACTGCCTGACTTAGTCACAGAACATTACTTAAACTACTGCCTGAATTAATGACAGAACATTTCAATGAACTCACACTAAAATTATAGTGAAAGCTCAGTGTCATAGACCATATTCCTCACTGAGATTTTACTATAATTTTTGTGGGTTTTTTTAAAAAAATAATTGTTACTCAATCTCCTTGATATTTCATTGAAAGGTCATTAATATTTCTGAATGCATTCTGAAAAAAACCTCAAATAATTCTATTATGATGATCTATATTTATTGTTTCTAATGCCTCGAATTTTATTATTCATTTTTGGCACCAAGCCCAAGGTCCATATTTTTTCTTTTTCTTAATCTGTATAAAATGAAAATATTTGGCTTGAAATGATACAATTGAAAAAGATATAAACAATAATCCCAATGTTTAATAATTATTATAATTATTTCAATGCAATTTAAAAGTTATTTCATGTGGACTGTGACTTCACTAGTTAGGGTGACCCACGCACCTACAGAAATACAGTCAACCGCTGATAGTTCGAGACTACCACTGTAGCGTGCACATTTGCCGTGTCGAGGCCAACTTTCTGACAGTATGATACTATAAATAGCCATGGCACGTGCAATTCTCTACAAATCTATCAACTATTACAGCCGTAAAAAAATTATTGTTGACGATTTTGAATAGCAGTAAAATTAAATTTCTTGGTTATTACAGCAGATTTAGAAATTACGTTTGTTTCATTTTTTAAATCGCTTTATCATTAACTGTACCGTTAAGAGCGGCATCTTTTGGTTTAGTACAAATAATATCTCAGAAACACTCGGGTTAGACAGGAACATGATACTAGCAGTAGTTTCATTTTACTTTTACAAGCTTCTTAAAACAATTGTTGAGCTAGCTAACGTGCTCATTTCTAAATTCAATTTCTTGATCTAGCTTTCTGTTATGTTTCGTAAAAAAGTAGTCTTGATTATCCCGACCTGTCAATCAGCCCTAGAATGGTCGATAGACTGGTTAAGCGAGACTAATTTCAAAACAAGGGCACGTAACCTATCTTTTACTCAAAAGTGTCTGGATGTTATGGACGACACATGGAACCAGTTTTCAGTCTATTATTTATAGATGATTAATGGTCATAGCTTATTAAGTACAACATGATCGTTTATTTAGTGACTATAATTGTGTGAAACTGATTTGAGGCTTGGCATATATATAAATATTGTGGCGAAATTGTCGAGATATATGGAGATATTTATTTATGGTGGGTCACCCTACACTAGTGCAGTAATTCTTTTAACATCAACCTCAAAACTGAGACTTCACTATTCACCATATACATCGCAGTACTATAACAAAGCTGTCAGAGTATAAAAAGCCACTAGAGGGGCTGCAACACAATTAATCTTACCTCATTTCAGTTAACATTAATTATGTTATTAAAACTAAAAAGAATGTATGTGTACATTTTTAGAGGTTGAAATATGTCACACAAATCTGAACACAAAATCTGAACCAACTGTGCGTCTAGCATAAGGTATGTCCTTGAGTCCAGTGGAGGTGTTGCACCTGCCCAAAGCTTGTGAATAACAAGAAGGATAACCTGCCCAAATTAGTGGGTATTCTTTGAAATGAAAATGAACAGGGAGGATTTACTTCTGAATACATATTAAAACAAAATTTAATAAATTTCAATATTGTAGGCTACCTCATTTTCTATAATCGGCAGTCTTGGCTCTGGTAGGGCTACATTTACTTCTTTGTCCTTGAATATACAACAAACATTTTTTAGACTTTAACTTATTTTTCATCAATTAATTTGTATTTCGGCTATTCTAGAATACTAATTAAATTTAAACAGCAACATCTGTTTTATTGGTCTCTGTATAATTTCTTATTATTTTAAAGTAATTTTGATGACAAGAACAATTATTGTACATATGCACACTTTTCCAGATTTTTTTCTTATTTTTCAAGCCATATTATAGCAAAGCCTTTGCATGATTCTCTCTAAAACAAAGATTCAAATGCTGAAATTTTAACATTATTTCCAAGATCTTTAGTCAGTAATTAAGCTAGAAATGCTAGGAAATAGGTAATACAAACCCTAGAAAAAAATAATATTGGTAAATTAAACATACATTATGCAAGAGCTAAATTTGCCTATTGCAGGTCTTTCTTTAGGCCTGAAATATTTTCTAAATTATTAATTAGACATTAATTAACTTATCTAGGCCATAATTAATCAAATCTCGATGGCATTGGATTTCTCTGATATTAAATAGATTAGAACAGTTCAGCCATATTTTTATTTAAGCTAAATATGGAGATGCGAGATTTAGCTTCGAACAACCAGTAATTATTGCACATGTCTTGTCAAGCGAGATTTAGCTTCGAACAACCAGTAATTATTGCACATGTCTTGTCAAGCCTTCAATGGCTAATATCTTCTCTCGCAATAGAGTAATTCATGTTACCTTATCTATTTTCGAACTATTATAGCAAGAATGGCTAGCTCTTTATCTAAATCTTACATAATGTATACATCTTTAAGAAAAAAAAAGATTTCGGACCAACTGTGACCCTATTTTTTGTGGCCATATATAGTTGTAACCATAAAACTAGTTATTTTTTTTCTTTGACTTAGTGAATAGGATCAACTTTAAAGTGCTATTTTTTTTATTACAGAAACCGAAATAGAAATATTTCTGAGGTCTTTAGGAAGAGAATATTTCAAACTGGTATTCGAGGAGTACGGAAAGTGTTTGCGCATGCTCGGCAGTAACATGATGGAGTTATTCAGTAACTTGGACGGATTACAGGAATTGTTGAAAACGCAGCCAAAATTTGAAGGCGTTCATTTACCATCATTTCGTTGTGAGTACGAAAAAAATAAAATTCAGCTGCACTACTACTCGCCGCGGAGGAGGATATTAGCGTTTGTGGCAGGAATAATTGAATCTGTGGCCAGTGTTTTGTTTTCGTTAGAAGTTGAAATCCAAATTTCTGGTAGTTTGAACCAGACGTCCCAACATCATATCTTCTACATCGGCACGTGCACAAATAACAACAATAATCACTGTAAAATGTGTTCGAACCAAGAAACTCTTTCAAGCGAACCGTCCAATAGTAAAATAGGAGTGGCTACATTCTGTAAATCTTTCCCTTTTCACGTCATCTTTGACGACCAATTAAATATCATCCAATTAGGAACAGCTTTACTTAAAATGATTGGACCTCACATTGCTGCACATGGAAGACAAATTGCTACATATTTCGAAATCGGAAGACCTCAGGTGAAAATGAGTTTTTCTGCCATCTTGTCACGTGTCAATTCTAGCTTTATTCTCAGGACCAAATCGTTATCAACAAGTTCCAGAAATGTGGTACATGTAAGTTCCATTTTAATTATAAAACTCAATTGTACAAAAGTTAATGAGAAGTTGTATCAGGTGTTCTAGAAACAATTTGTTATGTATGTGTTGTCCTGTGGTATGAGGTATAGTTCTGGAAAAATCGCAGTTTCGAGTGGTCAGGGGGACAACGGTGGATTCTTAGCTAGAATGTCTTGGGCGCAAATCGAAATTTATTAAGCGATATCAGTTGTAGTCAACTGGTACCAGTTGTTTTAGAAACAGTTGTAGCGGAGTGGAATGTTGCCGGCTCATCCTGAAAATTTAGGAAAATATATAAACGTTTCAAATATCTTGGTCTTATTAACATTATTCTAACAGGGATAACATGGGTTTCAGACATTTTTTGAAAAAAAAAAGAAGTTATTATTTTAAGTCAAATGTTTTTCGTAGCTTACTCTTAACATGAAAAACACTGCAAGCTGTAAATTGTATAAGAATTTTTCCAAATCTATTATTATGTGAAAAACTCCACACTGAGCCCCCCAAACTTGACCAAAATGAGGCCTCTATTTTGATTTATTTCAAGAATGGTCTTCGAATTTAGGAAGAATTCAACACAAATGCCCCCAAACAGTTGGAATTTGATATACATGTAAGAGTAGGTCGTAGTGCCACTGCCCAGGCAAAATTTATCTTATAGCAGACAGTATGTTGTATGCTTTTATCCTGTCTTCATTATCCCAGTCGTTGCAGAACAGTAGGATGTTCAAACCCATTTCACATCCTTTGTAATTACACCAAGTTGATTTATATCAGGAATGTTCCAGGTGCCTTGTCAAACGACAGAATACACATAGATGAACATTTACAATCATCATAGCCTACCTATTCATGCTGTCCATTATTTAACAATAATGATGATCAACTCCCCTGAGATATTATAACACATTACTGTACTATATAATTAAATAATAACATATGAACTCATTATTACTATAATAAACAATTATCTTACAAGGTTAATGAGTTTAATACATAATTTACTTACCTTAAAGGGAGCAACAGCCTATAAAAACAATTTAGTACAGGTAATTGAAGTGGACACAATTTATTTACCTTAAAGCCAGCAACATCCTATAAAAACAATCTAGTAATCCTAGTTGAACTCAACAAATCTATGAAATATGTTATGTTTTTGCCTACATCCCATTAAAAATTTCTAGTAATCCTAGTTGAACTGGAAACACAGAGACAAATCTATGAAATATGTTATGTTTTTACCTTAAAGGGAGTAACATCCTATATAACAATAGTCCTACAAGGACACACATCTACAGAATACATTACTATTTAATACTACAAGTACACAGCAAACAATTTTATGGAATCAGGCGAGTGTCCACAGGCGAGGCTGGAAGGTCTTCCTGGGGTTCCCCCCCCCCCGAGTTGGCACAAAGAATAATTTTTCTCCCCTACATTCATGGAAATAACACCGCTCTGGCTCACTATCCACTGTAATTCTATACTTGTATGCACCTAAATGAGCAAAACTATTGTCTCAAAGCTTCAGAATTTATCAAATTCATGTGTAGTTCCTCCGACCTAATGTCAACTTTGATGTCTCTACCTTGGAGCCCCCCGCTGCTTATATTCCTGGACACGCCCCTGGGAATACATAAGGATTTAATTGAACTGGGAATACACAAGACACAATTTTATGGATTACAAGAAGATCATTTCTGTACAGAAAATTTAATAATCTATGTAGAATTATGGTTCACAGGGATAAGAATCCCTCCTCTAACCCTAACCCTTCTGATGTTTAAAGGTACATTATATAAGATTAAGATAAAGGCCTGGCTGTTCTTACTAGATTTCTGTCAAATATACCTTTGGTTTTTAATTGTTTTGCTTTCCAGCTGAGAGTTTTAAATGTTTTATTTTGTACAGAATATGGAACTAAAGGGACAGATGTTACATCTGCAAGAGACAAATACATTGTTATATCTGGGTTCTCCAAGTGTGGAGAAGTTAGATGAGTTGATAGGTAAAGGTATATATATATCTGATATACCTATACATGATGCTACTAGAGATGTTATACTCGTGGGAGAACAGACAAAGGCACAGGTAAGATAATCATTTCATTTAATATATAGCGATTGACCTGGCATTACACAGGTAGAGACCTGAATCAAAGGGGTAGTACAACACCACCAGTCCTATTATATCACTTCCCAGTTTAAACGACCCTTATAATAATAATAATCATTTTCAGTCATTGTTACCACCACTGTACAATTGTAATTGTAGGTGCTGCAGAGACTATGGACAAAGAAAAAATATATGCACAGTGTTTATTGATTTTTCAACAATTTCTTATAATTACTGCCAGAGTTATGGCCCTTGATCACTTAGACCCTCTATGTTTAAGTTTATACACAACATTTCTGTTCATGACTATCAAATTTTAACTCTATCTGATAAGAATTTCACAGGTTGATACCCTTGGTCTGTTTTTAGTGTCTTGTAAATATTTGGGGAGTTTGGTAGCTAAATACTTTAATTACATGTACTTTAGATAATAAGGTCTGTCATTAGTTTTGATTCCTCACTTCTGTGTGACATTTTCGTGGTATTTGCCTGTCCAACCTCATGGAGGTTTCTTTAGATCCTCCCACTTCTTAAAATAAAATTGTACCTTATGTTAGTCCCAATGTGACCTGATTTGTGTTGAGTGGCGGTTGAAACAACTACATCATTTCTGCTTTGAATAAAAATTAATTTCTCATTTTCAATAACTTTATATTTCTGAATATATTTAAGATGGAAACCTTTTTGAAAATTTTTGGTCTTCCCATTAAAACCCCATATCTCTCTCTCTGTTGGTCTTCCCAATAAAACCTCTCTCTCTCTCTCTCTCGCTCTCTCTGTTTTTCTCTCTCTCTCTCTGCAGTTATGGACTGTTCAGGCAACTTTGTAATTTATTTCAGCTCATTTCTTCTTTCTTTCTTTTACTTTTTTGCCAAAATCAATTTTATCCTATTTATACTAAAATTGATTATGCATTTAGGAAAATTGTCTACTCAAGGTACTTAAGTGCATGATGGGATACATGTCTAATTATGTGATACATATCTTTGAAAAAAGACAAAATGATTGTGTCAAGTCATGTTCTTCCTGTTGCGTATGTTAGACAATATGGTCTGGAAGTATAAAACATGCGAAAAGCAACGTCTTTATACCAGAAATCAATTTTTAGCGGAAGCTTAAATACAAACAAATGTTTTTATAAACTGTTTTGTCTAGACCCTAAGTACATGATAGTCATGTTAATTCTGCTGTCGTGGCGATTGACTTGACCTCATCAAACGTTACCGTGGTGATTTATTCAAGCCACGATTTTTTATCTTATTATTGAAAACTTTTATAAAATTTTAATTGGAGTAATTAATAATAACTTGAGTTATCAAGCTTTAGAAAGATAAAAGAATCATGTTTTTAAACATTTAAAGTTGCGATGGGTCTATTCAAATTCAAGCCAGAATAATGTGTTGTCATTAATCTGTTTTTAATTTTGGGTTTAAAGCGTGCGCCTGAAATCACAAGGTCTGTCATTGATTGAGTCAAGTGGCGTTGTTTTGATTCCCCACTTGAACATGACAAGGAGTAGGGTTGCCTATCCAACCTCATGGTTTTTTTCTGGGCCGTCTGGTTTCCTCCTACTGCTACGAGCAAGTTTTCTTAGCGGTTTAGCGTAAACTGAATGTGAAATGGGATTGAACGTCCTTTTTTCTGCTCCGACTGGGCTAATGAAGAGGGGCGTTCGCCATACAGTGTGTTATGAGGGACCTCCCTCTCTTTCTCTCTTTGAGTTACCATTTATTGAAATCAAGTGGCGTGGTTTCATTTCCCCACTTGCACATGACAAGGAGTAGGGTTGTCTGGCAAACCTTATGAGTTTTCTCTGGTCCCCTCGTACTGCTAAAGACCCCAAATGACCAAGTTTGTGTCAAGTGGATGTCAAACTTTCTCTCTCTCTCTCTCTCTCTCTCTCTCTCTCTCCCTCTGATGTTCAATAAACATCATAGAATCAACTTTTTAAGATTGCAATCCTTCAAGCCAAAATATTTTAAGAATGCTGTCCTTTAAGCTAAAATATTTTGGCAATGTAGTCCTTTAAGCTAAAATATTTTAAGATTTAAAATGTTTTAAGAATCCGGAATTGAAGAAGGGTCACGTGTCCAGATAAATGATTTTGATGTCCAAACGACTCAATATTTTGAGCTGAAATTTTCAAACAAGGTCAATTCACCATTCCTCTATATTTTGGCGTTTAAATTTCATGCATGCACAGGCTTTTATTTCTGAGACTCTTTCAACATCGGGATGGTCCCTTTAAGCTAAAATGTTTTAAGAATGCAGTCCTTTAAGCTAAATAATTTAAGAATGGAGCCCTTTAAGCTAAATAGTTTAAGAGAGAGATGGGGTATAATGTCCACTTAACACAAACTAGGTCATTTGAGGACTAACACGTTATTCAATTTTTGTTTTCAATAATTCGCTTGCACATAAAGGTCTTTAGCCATAGAAAACCCATGAGGTTGGATAGACCTTATGATACAACCCACACAACAATCTCCTAATTAGTTGGGCAATTATAATTAATTTGTATAGAAGCCATGCAGAGATTACAACCTTGAATGTGATAGTGATTCCATTAAAACTATCTGTATTTGTCCTTCGTGACCATTCCACCTGTCAAGTCACATGGTCTTATTAATTCAAAAGTATGGGATATCTTTTGATTTGATTTGACTGTGCGGTCCTGTTATTGGCTCTAGAAAGCGTGACTTCCAGTTTACCCACCTTTTAAAATAAAATATCACGACCAATAATTATTGAAAAGATCCTGTTGACAAGTTCAAAGAAAATCTATAATTATAATATGTATGTTGTTCAGTTTTTGTGCTAATTTGACCTATTATGTATTAGTCATCATTTATTGTGGCTTTTTAAAAATCATTGAGTAATTATCAGCAATCTCTTTCTTTATTTTATGATTTTTAAATCAATAGGAAAGTAATTGTTTTTATTAGCCCACATTTTTATGTGGATGTATATTGTCGTCGTCCCTGTCCAATTTGTTTGTGGATACTCTACAGGTCACAATTTTTATCCGATTTTGACAAAACTTAAAATATAGGTTTATCTCCCAACAGTCTTAGTTTATTTCGATATTTGTGCATATCGGACCGTAACTACATGGCCCCTAATTGAACAAAAAATCGTGTCTTTAGCGTGTGGTCCTTCTAGAGGTCACAATTTTTATCCAGTTTAAAAAATTGTTTAAATATATCATCGTCACACCATTATGATGGTTGAGTTCGAATTTTGTGAAAATCGGACCCAAACTCCATGTATGCAAATATGTGTTAAAGTATGTAGTATCAGGGTTGTGGACCATCTAGAGGTCACAATTTTTATCCAATTTTGATGAAACTGAAAACATGACCATGTTTATATCCCAAAAATCTCTGTTCCTGTCGATATTCACTCATAACGGACCGTAACTTCCTGGATTATGACCCCTGATCGAAAAAATCTCGATTTTAACTTGTTGTCCCCCTAGAGGACACAATTTTTATACGATTTTAAAAAATTGTTTAAATATATAATCGCTACACCCCGATGATGATGGAGCTTGAATTTCGTAAAAATCTGACCGTAACTGTCTGTCAAAATGGCCGCTCCTTGAACGCAGATTTTGTAATAGTATATAATACCTTGGTTGTGGACCCGATTTTAGCTTGTTGTCCCCCTAGAGGACACAATTTTTATACGATTTTAAAAAATTGTTTAAATATATCATCGTTACACCCCGATGATGATGGAGCTTGAATTTCGTAAAAATCAGACCTTAACTGCCTGTCAAAATGGCCGCTCTTTGAACGCAGATGGTGTAAAAGTATGTAATACCATGGTTGTGGACCCGCTGGAGGTCACAATTTTTGTCCATTTTTGATGAAATTTTTATATATTTTTATATCCCAAAGATTTCAGTGAAATTCAGTCCCTTTCAATATTCGCACATTTCAAACTTCTTGGATTATGGCCCCTGATTGTACATGGGGGGGTTTGGGTGACCGAATGGTGTATTATATTGTAAGGTCTGTGATTGAACATTTCAGGATGGTCTGAAAAAACGCATGGTTTCCCTGAAACAAAGCATTGAACTGGCAACGAAAGCTGTCGAAGAAGAGAAGAAGAAGAACGTTGAGTTACTGAAAGATATATTTCCAAGTGACATCGCTCAAAAGCTATGGAGGGGTAAGAAATTTTTTTTTAAGTTTGATTGTAAATTATTTTTATAGCAGACAAGTGCCTCGACTAATTGCCCACATGGGGTTTAAGTTTAACGTCCAGAAACTAGGTAATTTCTGGACTAATATATGGTCCAATTTTGATTTCATTATTTGCTTATATATAAGGGTATTTAGTAGTGGGAGGAAGCTGGAGAACCTGGAGAAAACCTATGAGGTTGGACAGGTGACCCTACACCCGTACTCCTTGTCATGTACAAGTAGGAATCGAAACCACACCATTTGACTCAGTGACAGACCTTATGATGAAACAAGCATGCATTAACCATTCGACCACTCACTCTCTCCCCAAAATTACATAAACATGTAAAGTAAAATATGCAGAACATTACGAATCAACGAGTACATGTGTTCAGTCTTTCATTTAAATACTGTTGATTCATGTCATTTTCTGTAAAATACTTTAAAAAAAAAAAAAAGAAATTTACTCATGTATTTCACTCATGTATTTGTTACATACTACCCCCTACCCCTTGTTTTTGGGGTCAAATTCACTTTCTTTTGTTGGCTCACTGAAAAAGACATGGGTTCGCTAACCTGCAGGTCCTGTGTTCACTCCCTGGGTTGGCCGAAAAGTGAAGCTATGCAGTATGGAGGGCCTGAGTTGTTGGGATGGGACAAAAAAATGAGGTCCCATGTACACATTGGCGTGCAATTTGAAATATGAGTAGTCAGTAGTTTTGCTGTCTGGGCAAAATATCCTTCATAACTGTTGGAGACTTACAATGTACATATTTAGGATCATCTGTTCTTAGTTTCATGTACAGCTGTTGTTTTGGTACAAACAACAGAGGTTAAGGCAAGTCAGAGGACCTCAGGTCTGAGTTGAGTCCCAAGTTGCTGCACCACGAGTCCAAATCAAGTCCAAAATGCTGACTTTAGTACTGAGTCGAGTCCCAAGTCAGGTCTTTGATGCAAACAGTCATATATATTATTACGATGTCTTCACAAGTTTGAAAGGAGATAATTTCCTTAAACAGATTTACTGAACGATCAGAAAGCAATCCAGCAACCATCTATCAAGCTGACAAGGAATTATTGTTATCAAATGGAAATTGTGATTAAGTGCATGGGGTTAGAATGGATGCGGGCATGTTGTAATCTGTGATGTTTAAAATAGAAACATGTTTCAGTGTGGAAGATAATATAAGAGTCCATGTATTTGATAAGGTTGTTTATTTGCATGTATATTGTCGGGCTGCATCAGAGTATTGTGTGTGAGAGATAGAGAGGGATGGAGGGGAGAGGGAAAGAGTGAGAGAGTTTAACCTCCATTTGACACAAACTAGGTCATTTCGGACTAGCATATGGTTCAATTGTGGGTTTTCTCCGGTTTCCTCCCATTACTAATGACGTCTGTGGGATAGGAGATTATGGAAGTAAAATTGAACCATAAGTTAGGTCCGAAATGACCTAGTTTGTGTCAAGTTGAAATAAAACCCCATTTCTCCCCCTCCAATCCACCCCCTCTATCTCCTTCTTCTCTCTTTGTCTGTTCCGTTCAACAATGATCATACAAAACCATCCGGAAAAAGCATTTTAGGCTCGCACATTGAGTGAACGGCTGGAATTCTTCCTTTTCCGTAAATAAAAGCTCTTTATTCTGTTATTGTGGGCAAGTTGCGTGTGTGATATTATCTGGTGAAATGAAATTAAATGAGGTTAAATATCTTACTGTTCTGTTCCGACTGGGCTAATGGAGACAGTCATTATCTGATAACTGTTGTCTTTTTTATTTATTAAAATAACAGGAAGCCATTTGAATTTAATCAAAAGAAGGTTACTTTTCTGCATTGAGTGGGCTAATGAGGATGTGCATACACCAACAGTGTGCTAAGAGTAGGCTGTAGCAACACAATTTGGGAAATTTTTTCCTCATAGCACACTGGCATATGGTTGTCTTCATTGGCCTGGTTGGTGCAGAACAGGAGGATATTAAACTTTGTTTGATTTCATTTCATGTCTCTAATTATTCTGCCTCAGAAATATATACTAGTATCCAAAAAACAACATCCATACAGTGTGCTAATAAGGGTAGGCCGTAGAACCTGTGTCCAGGCAAAATTTCCCTCTTATGCTAGGTTCCAACTGCCGTGCGATGCGATGCAATGCGATGTGTTACAATAGGATTGTCCCTATGTGCAGATACGTTCGGATGCGTTTTGATACGATAACACGATTGCTATGACTGACCTCAATGTATCATAAGATCTGATAGGATCATCACGATTACTTCATGATTAAAACCATGATTTCAATAGTAGCGCGTATCGTGAGAGTAGGAACCTAGCATAAGCAAAGTATAACTACGGTTGGTGCAGAATGGCAAAACGTTAAACCTCATTTCATTTGAATTTCATGTCTAATACAGTACCTAAACAATAGTAAGACTGTATCCAAAAACAGTGTCACCAAAAACACAGATCATCACGACCTTTGGAACATAGTTCTTTGTTTTTGAGCAAGATGACAACTACAGGCACTCATGCTGTTGCTAAGGAAAACTCCATTAGTGGTGATAGGTTTTTACAAACTCCAAACCTAATGACTACACATAATCTTTGTAGATCAGAGCTGTGTTATTGTAATAAAACAGCCAATATAGTGTCTTATTGTTGACAGTTCATTAAGTTTTGAGGGACATATCATGACCAAGTCACCTTGGTTGTATTGTGTATTCATTAAAGATCCATTAGCTCTATTTTGATGCCTTATCAAAGGAAATGGCCAACGATCTGATCTTTTGATTATTTCGTTCTTTCATTACCTCCATCACTAGAACTCGGGTATCCTATAGTTTTTTCTGTTTTTGCAGTAGTTTCAGTCTTTAAAGATACAATACTTAAGATTTTAATAAAGATTTGGACATTCTTGATATAATAGTTCAAAAATAGATGATTAAAAAGAAAATATTCAAAATTTCAGTCAAATTACTTTATTTTGAATGAAGTTATCACTGTTGAAAGTTTGGACTGGAAATGGACATCAACTGTCTCCGCACCGTCTCCGAGAATTATCAAGTAACATTCTCAATGCCTATACAGTACCCTTAATTGTCATTCCTTTCATCGGCAGTCTCCGGGAATGACATCAGTGATTACCGGTAAATGTTAGCCATTTGTCAGCCATTTAATGATTTAATTTTAAATGGATGACTGTTTAATTCCATGCCATCTGAAGGTCTGCAGAGTTGATTTTGGGCTAGTTACGTACATAAAGGTGTAATTAATAATTTCTATAGAAAGACTTGCAATAGGCATATATAGCTCTTAACTGATGTATCTTTAATGTTTAGTTTCAAACCATATATGTTGACAAATTGTTAAAATTCATTGAGAATCACTGGAATATATTGGGTTGCATAGATTTAAATGGTCCGTTTAGATTAAATAATTAGTGTCAGGTTTTAAACCAGGAGGCATCAGAGTTTAATCTCAATATTGGCTTAGAAATATTTCAGAATTTTTCAGCATGGATTCCCAAGGTGCTGGTTAATGGAAGAGCATCTAATTGTTCTGATGGAAAGAAAAACCAAAGTCCTGTGTATATACATTGGAATTTGGAAATAAGAGTAGGCTGTATCTCTCATAGCAGTCTTCATTAGCTTAGTTGGTGCAGAACAGTAAAGAGACTTTACTAAAGATGTTAAACTCCATTTTATTTCATTGTTTAAAATTAGTAACAACTAAAACCTGGTATTCCATATAACTCATTAATTAAAATATTAATGTAAACATTAAAACTACATCTGTAAATATTTGTGCAATTTGCTAAATACATGTGTTTGTTATTATAATTAAGCATGACTGCCATAAACATTTCTAAAAGTTATGAATATTTACTTCCATGGTTTCAGCGGAATGGTTGCATGCCTACAAGTTATCGTCAACAATTATTGTTTTTGGAAAAGTTGCATACCTTCCCTATAAGTTGTTGTAAACAATTACTGTTTATTTTTAAAACATTTCATTATATATAAAGGCATAACTAATAAATGAATCAAAGAAAATATATAAGGGGACTAAAAAAAACAAAATACCGTTTGGTTTATAAAATGCACCATGTAATGTACATTTCAAGCATAGATGATCAAAGAATCGCATTGGTTTAGAAATAGAACCATATATTCATACATGGTTATCAATAACATTTCTTTGTAGGTATATCGATGACTCAGTACAGCAGAAGTATTTTATGAAATATTTTAATGACAACCAAACATGTAGTTTTCTATATTGTGCTCCAAGTCCAACCCCTGTAAACAATGCCTATCCTTTCATACCTTTTGATATCAATCTATGTGGTGTATAAGGGGGCATTGATCTGCTTCACATTATAAGTTATACACAATCACTTGACTATATCAACTATATAGAACTTGAAACAACAAGAGAGTCATTGTAGAAACATAGCTCTGATCCAAATAAAAATACAGTAATTGTTTTCCATAGAATTTTCGGTTTAATTTAATATGTTCAATTACTAAATGCCATTTAAACAGTGTATATACAGAACTTAATAAGTATACTGTGCTGTGTATGGAAAAGGCTACCCTTCTTTCAAAACCCCCTGTGTGTTGTAATTAGTATTGGTGCAGGGTCATACTGAAACACAGGGATGTAGCCAGGATTTGGTGACTGGTGTTAAAATATATTTGGCGAGCGGAGCGAGGCAAAAAAAAAATTTGGGAGGGGGCGTGGTCTTTTATGAAAATTAAACCCTTCTTGGTGTATTTTCAGAGCATCTGCTGCCTTTTGTATTTGGTTCAGTGCAAATCAAATTTCCATTTATATATTCAAATTTTACCAAATTCACATAATTTTCATCAATGATACAGGGATCTAAAAACTTTTTGACACCACCCAACCGAGCATAAAATTGTCCCACCCCACTCTGTTTCTCTGGATAGATAAGTTGAGGACCTTTGGGTATTTATTGTTTTGTTGG